GTTAAGAAGAACAGAGTGCTCTGGGGTATTTCAAAATTGTTCCTGTTCCCCTCTTCCTGCTGGACGCATGAGGAGATTTTTCTCTGATATTTATTATGAGAATCTGTTTGAGCCCCTAGAAAGAAAACTCACAAAAGTATAGGGTCTTCTATGACTGGGTCCCTGGAGTTTTTAACTCTCAGACTTGTTCATACTGACCCTACATCAATTTGTCAGTTGCAGTGCAGGTTTTCCTAATCTGGCACTGGTTCCCTTGGTGGTTGCCATTTATCAGTCTCTGCTCTGGAGAGCTGTGACTCCTTGTATTTGCCTGTTTCTCCAAACCTGGGGGCAGTGGTTTATCCTGTGTCCTCATCTGTCTTACGGATCCAAGAAGAGTTGTTGATTGCTTTTAGTCTGTTCAGTTTTTTTTTTTTTTGAGCTAACATCTGTTGCCAATCTTATTATTTTTTTCCTTCCTTCTTCTCCCCGAAGTTCCCCAGTACATAGTCGTATATTGTAGTTGTGGTCCTTCTGGTTGTGCTATGTGGGACGCCACCTCAGCATGGCCTGATGAGTGGTGCCATGTCTGTGCCCAGGATCGGAGCCAGCAAAACCCTGGGCCGCCAAAGCGGAGTGTGGGAACTTAACCACTCAGCCACGGGGCTGCCCCAGTCTGCTCAACTTTTTACTTGTTAGGATGGCATGGTGACTTCCAAGCTCCTGACGCATGGAACTGAAAACTGAAAGTCCTGTCTCCCTTTTTTTGTTGTTGATGTTTTTCCTTCACATTGGTTTTGTTCATTTCCTTTTCAGTGTATTTATAGCTTATATATATGTGTTTCTGCTGTACTTGAGATCTTTTTGTTGTTTATTGTATAATCTCACAGGTTAATGTTTGTGTGGGGTAAACTGATCAAATGTTATCAGATCTTTAATATAATTAGGTACATTATATCTCCCATTTGCTATTTGTGTTTATGATACCTTAACAGATAGAATATGCTATATATATAGCAATGCATTTATCCATTAAAGAATCTATTACTCTGTCAATAGGGTTTTCCTCTATGCTCTGAGGACCATCATATGTTCAACCAATGAGTTACTAGTGGACTACATGGCTGCCAAACATAACCAGTGAGCAATGTCCCAGCCATCCTAAGATGAGTGATTCTACAATGGGTGTTGTTTTCTCTGCTCCTGGGTTTTATTTTGAATTCTGATAAATAATTTTACACAAATCAACTTCCAAAGTTATGGCACAAGAGTGCTCTACCTACTACAAAAGAACAGGGTGGAGGACCAGGCACTAGGTTAGAATGCAAATTTTCTGGCAACTTGTGCTGCCAGAAAGGAAACGCTTGAGAAAACAGAAAATAAAGAAAATTAGGAGACTGGCAAAAGTCTTTTGACATTTTGAAGGACATCCCAAACACTGAGATGTTTGGGGCAATTGCTTAAGTATAATGCTTAAAATACTTCCCATAGGAACTGTAGGATCCCATATAACTAAGTCCAGTTACAGCTCTCATTTCTAAGAAGGTCTCCCCACGCTGAACTGGGTAAGTGTGTGTATGTGTTTTTCTGATTGGCTCTTTATGAATTTCTCCTATATGATCTAATGAGTTTTCCAGTTAATGCTTTTTTTGGTTAATTATAAACTTATAAATACTGATAACCATTTTTTTTTTATCACTTTCTTTCCACTACTTTTACCTCTAAATTTTCTTATCCTAGGGCTTTGGCTAATTCTTGCCAATCCACGTCTTTTTCATGATTTGTATGGGGATGATTCTGCATTAGTCATAGTGATGCAACTTGCTTGAGACAGTTCTGTACAGAATAAGAACATATTTTCTTATCCATATTTTATGAAGAGTTTTTTTTTACTTTTTTATTTTTTAATTTTTTTAAAGATTTTATTTTTTCCTTTTTCTCCCCAAAGCCCCCTGGTGCATAGTTGCATATTCTTCGTTGTGGGTCTGTCTAGTTGTGGCATGTGGGACGCTGCCTCAGCGTGGTTTGATGAGCAGTGCCATGTCCGCGCCCAGGATTCGAACCAACGAAACACTGGGCCGCCTGCAGAGGAGCGCGCAAACTTAACCACTCGGCCACGGGGCCAGCCCCTTTTATGAAGAGTTTTAACATCAGAAGTTGTTCAATTGCATCAAATGCTTTTCCAGCCTCTACAGAAGATATCGTATGCCGATAAATTTCTGAGAAATTGCTCAATCCCATTAGCTCTTAGGAAAGTGCAAATTAAAATCCAAATGAGATGCCATTATATTCTACCTGAAATGCTGATATTAATAGGTTTGACTATACTGTGTGTTGGTGAGAATGTGAGCAACTTGAACTCTCAAATGCTGTTGGTGGAGAGTAAACTGGTATAATCATTTTGGGAAATTGTGTGCCATTTTCTCTTAAATCTGAGCAGGAACATATCATAAAACCTAGAATTTTGACTACTAGGTATATAACCAATAGAAATGCATATATATGTGCATATATTTATACTAGTTTTATTCATAAGAGAGTGAAATTGAAAAGCAATGTCTATTAACAAACAATAGGATAGGTAAAAAAATAGGGGTATATTTATACAATTACTTTAAAAAAGATACGGTATTTTTTCTATGACCTAATATGTTGGATAGTGTTAATAATTTGCCCAATGTTGCTAGGTTCTTGCATTTCTGGGGCATTTCTCATTGGTCTTGGTGAATCAGTATTATTTTTACTTTTCAGGCTGAAAAGACTTTGGCTTCTTCCTATTTTTTGATAACTCTGATGTCTCTAAAGTTCTTATTTTTCACGTCTTGTTACAGTAACTTACATCCTTCCTGTGACTATGAACTTGTAGATTTTAGCTTAAGTCAGGACCTCAGTATTCCAAATTCCCCTTTTCAGACACAGAACCACTAAAATTCTCTGCCTAATTTACCTGAACTCTATTTCTCACTTCAGCATTTACCCATTTAAGCTCTGACACTCGTTTTTTTCCCCAGAGTGATTTAGTCACTAAAAGAACAGACTGAGAAAATCCTATGAGCCTTATGATGTTAAACATGATAAAAATTGGACATAAAATGGCCTACAAATGTCCTTCATTACAAGTTATTCTGTATCATAATTCCATTTCTTGGAACACTTTTGTCTGCCACAGCTATAAGATTCTTAATATGATAGAAGTACACTTTTATAGTATATTATCTTTCATTTATACATTTTATTTTCTACTTTTATGAGGCATTCACCTATGAAGAGGGCTCTTTTGATAAAATGCTCTGGGTGAGTTAAGGCGAAATACCTTATACTCCTTGTTACACTAAACCCAAAGGAATATACATAATTATGTAAAAGGTTAAGAGTGTGTTCCTTCCTTCATTCCATAATTATTTATTGCTCTGCTTTTGTCCTAGGTCCTAGCATACTACTGTATATCACCAAAATGGAGTCATGTTCAGGAAATGACTTCTTAAAAAATTAGATGACTGTGGGTATGCTATTTTGACTCTAATAAGCAGCTTCTTTTGAACTGTGTCAAGGAACAGGAGGTTTTTTTTCTTCTTCTTTTTAACATGGGTATGTGTATCAATAAGAAAGGTCTCTCTCAGGGGCCAGCCCATGGCTGAGTGGTTGAGTTTGTGTGCTTCACTCTGCCGGCCTGGGGTTTGTGGGTTTGGGTACTGGGCGTAGACCTACACACTGCTCATCAGGCCATGCTGTGGGGGCATCCCACACAGAAGAACTAGAATGACTTACAACTAGGATATTCAACTATGTGCTGCGTCTTTGTGGAGAAAACAAAAGAGGAAGATTGGTGACAGATATTAGCTCAGGGCCAATCCTCCTCACCAAAAAAGCATAAAAGAAAAGAAAAACAGAAGTCTCTCTCAGAGTTACTCAGGACTAACCACTGTTTAGAATTCAAGGCAGCTCTAGGAATGTGGATATTGTCTGTTCAGCAGCCAGGTCTATGGACCTTCTCTAGGGCTGAGGTGTCCAGCTGGTGTGCACAATGCCCGAGGTGCCCCGTGCGTCTGGGTTACACATGTGCTGAGGCTTTGATTTTCCTCAGCCTACAGGTGGGCTGCGTGGGGCCTGGGCAGCGGAAGACCCCAGCAGGCAGAGAGGCAGCCACCCACTTTTAACCTGGGGGGTGGGGGAGCGCTTCAATAGTGCACTTTCCCAAATATAAGACATACTTATTTAAAAATTTCTTTAATATAACCTAAATAAGATATAGGGACTAATTTTTTTTTTTCTCAGCAGCATTCTGACCATATTTATTATGGAAATCAGCAGGAAAATGGGCTTTATTTAAGATAAGTTTCTGTACTACAACAATATTTTGGAATATATATTCCATTTTATAATCATGCCAATGTCTAACTTTTATACAATCTACATTCCAATTATACAAGTAAAAAGAATTCAACTGTCTAACCATAATTCAACAACCTAACAATTTTCTTTAACTGAATCTCTGATGCTGAGACCATGTATTAAAATATATAAAATTAATATATTTTATCAGTGATTGTAATATGGAGGTCTGCACCCTCAGCAACCATAAAAGCGAGATTCTATGTGCCATTTTCTTTCATTCCTACTTTTCCCAATTCACAGGAAAAAACATCAATTTTTATTTTACCAAGGTTGTGAGAAAATCCAAAATACTTTATGGATTTTATCCTCCCTGAGCACAGACCAACTAAAACGTCATCCATCTCATTAAACAAGCACATTTTTCTTTTTTGTTGTAATTGCAATCTCAGTAACATATTTCTGATTAATTCAAATAGAAAACCATTAGTTATAACTTAACCTATTCAGTTTGATACTCAAATATTTAAGAGCATGGTGCCTCCAGTAGACAGAAAATAATCAAAGGAATGCCTGGTGGTAATAAATGCAGAAGAAAGCAGTGAAGTGAAATTTACTTGTGTCTTACTATTGTTATGTCTTACTATTATAAATTTAAGGTCTTTTTGATATCATAAAGTTAAACTTACCAGATTTGTGCAGGGTCACTCCTCTGTTGTGGGTCTTACCTGGCTCCCGAGGAAGTTGATAGTCTGGGCTTGAAAAGCTTTCGTTAGCATTTCTTGGACTTAATATATCTTTACAAATGAGCTGAGACCCTGAGGCATCCCTCAGACTGTGGCAGACTTCGTGGATGACTCGGGAGGAAAGTTGGTTTTTAAAGAGGAAGAGACCAGCATCACTTGTTACTGTTGGCAGACAGTGATCTAAAAGAGAGATTTTTAAAAACAAATTTAACAAATATTCAAATTATCCTTACTAGGTGTCAGGCTCTCCCAAGCTCTTTAGAGGATTAACTCATTTAATTTAATCCTCACAACAACCCCAACAGGTACTATGATGATCTTCTTTAACTGATGAGGAAATGGAGGCACAGGGAGATTAGGTAACCTCTGAGGTCACTTGACCAGAGACTGACTGGGACTCAACCCCAGGCTGCCTGCCTCCAGAGGCTCGGCTGCCTCTGTATGTGACTGTTGATAAATCACGCTAAAAGGTACACCGACTCAGCTGGTTTTCTGGTCCATGCTTTACTCCAGGGGAGAACCAATCAGTCTTTTTTGTCTTTCTTCCATTTGAAAAAATTTATTTTCTACAATTGATTTCTTTCTTGAGGTATAATTGACATATAACCTTCAGGTGTACAACATAAGGATTTGATATTTATATACACTATTAAATGAACACCAAAACAAGTCTAGTTACCAGCATCACCACACATAGAAAATTTTTTTCTTGTGACATGACCTTTTAAGATTTACTCTCATAGCTACGAATTAGTCTTAAGTACTGTGGTGAACTTGGGAGAGATACAACAGCAGTCATCCATGCCAGCCAGGCACATATATACACAGACCAGATTTCTTGAAATAAGAAATAATCATCAATTTCTAAGATGTTAATACTTCCCTCTTGCTTTTATAGTGAACTTTCCTTTTTAAAAGCTAACCTTTCCTGAGAAGAATTATCCATCGCTGAGCCAGCATGGTGGTATTAGCTTTGTAAACAAGCAGTTGAACTGGTGCAAATAAAGAGAGATGAAAAGTCAGCAGGGTCGGAGAGGGAAATACTACAATTTTGCTTCCTCACCTGATTCATGGATTTCTTTCACTTGCATAGGTATTTTCCTTTTTTACAAGTGAGTTTTATCTTTTCTTTAATATGTTGCTCCACTTCGTATTTCAGATCCCCCTTCCGCATTTTACAGTTATGTTGTTTAATCCCACGGCCTTGCAAGGTGGTATCACACCCACCATTTGAGGGCAAAGAGGCTTGCAGAGGGCAGTAGCTTGCCATGAGTTGCACAGTTAATAAAAAGGCCTTAGTGGAATTCTAAACTCAGGTGTCTCAGGCTCCACATAGCATAGGACCATTTCAGACACAATTTAAGGCATGTGCATCTTGCTAACGAGATACTAAATTTGCTCCCAATCAAGCGATGGTTCAATATCATTGCATCAGGAAATACTGAGCAAATAATGGCAGTAGGGGGCATCCAGCCACTTCCTACATGATTAGTTGAAAACGACACACCTGCACACATACGTTGGAAGGATGTGATAGAGGTAAGGATCCGGACTAATTTAACCAGGAGAAAGCAGCCGTTTTTGAACAAAGGGTAGCCTAGGGCCTAAGAGGTGGATTAAAACAATTTGCCTATTGAAGCTGGTCGGTGCCGCAGTGCTCAAGGGCCTATTAGCTGCAAAGAAGTCTTTGCTGCCCTGCCTGAACGGACATAGCTACAGTAGGACTACAGAGGGCTGACCTTCAGATAGGAAGGCAAGTGCTATTATACGGCATATACATAGATCCATATCACATTCTGACCGTGTGTTTCTATAGCACGCGCAGGATGGGAGGTTTCACGAATCTAGGACCGAAAAACACCACGTTCCCCAGCGTGTATTTTGGGAGGAAATCACCCTATTGAAGTCCCCTCCTCGAGATAACCCTTTCCCTCCAGGTGCATCATCCTTCATTACCGATCCCCAGGGTGGAAGGTATCCCACGCTCGAGACCTGTCCCTCAGCCCTCCGCAGCGCGCCGAGCGCAGGGTCGTCGGGCGGGCGGGGGTGGCGGTGACGCAGGAGGCGGCCGGGGCCCAGGTCCCGGCGCGGGGGGAGGGGGCGCTCGCTCGGCACGGTGCAGCGCGGGCCAATCAGCAGGCGCGGTGTTTCGGGCGGGCGGAGCTGAGCGGGGCGGGGCGGGGGCTCCAGGTTCCCTTGGGGGCCGGCGCAGCGCCGCCTGCGGTGGCGAGCGAAGGCGCTGACAGCCGGGGGCTCCGGGCGAGCCCGCGGGCCGGGGTTTCCTCCGCGGCTGCCCCGCCCTTTCAGACCCGCCCCCTCTACGACCCAGACGCTGCTCCGACTGCGCCCGGCCTCCTCCGCTCTTCCCGCAGAGCGCGTCACCCGGCCGCCCTTCGCTTGGGGTCCCGGGGCCGTGCGGGGTCGGCGCCGGCGGGGCCGCCTCGCTCGGGCCGGCGGCGGTAATGCTGCTGCGGTTGCCGCCTTTGCGGCCAGGCGGGCAGCTGGCGGTGGCCGGAGCCGGAGCGCGCTCGCCGCTGGCCGGGACGCCGCCCTCGCCCGCGCTCGGCCGCCGCGGGGCGCCGGGGCCCGGCGCGGCATGAGGAGGAGGCTGCGCACCGGCGAGCTCTCAGCTCCTCGGCCCCCAGGGCCCCCGCGGGCCCCCGCGCGCCGCCTGCAGCCCCGGCGCCCACGCTAGCCCACGCCGGCCCGAGACGCCGCGGCCCCGCGGAGGAGGCGGCGCAGGCCTGCGCAGCGCGGGGCTCCGGTCCTGGAGCGGGCGGACGCGGGGAGCCGGGCGTGCTGCAGTTTGTGCCCCTCTCCGCAGGGGCGCCGCGCGCAGCCTGCGCCTCTCCCCACCTGCAGCCCCTCCTCCCGCCGCGGCCGGGCGGAGGAACCCGCGTCCTCGCCCCTCCTCGGCCTCTTCGGCTCCCTCCGTCCCCGGGGCCCCCGCCCCGCATCCCCTCTTCCCCCTCCACCCCTTCCCCCTCGGCCTCCCGCGCCTCCCCTCCCCCGACTCCCCGGCCTCCCATTCATTCCGTCCGCTCCCTCCCTTTCCTCCTTCCCGCTCGGGCCCTCTCCCCCAGCGCCTCCCCGCGTGGACCCCGCTGCAGTCTTGGGGTTGTTAGCCCATTCATGGAAGTTTAGGGCCTGGACGCTGCCCCCGAGGCCGGCCTGAGCGCGCAGCCCGAGCTGCTGGCCGGGAAGAGGAAGATGTCCGTGCTCAGGCGGATGATGCGGGTCTCCAATCGCTCCCTCCTCGCCTTCATCTTCTTCTTCTCCCTCTCCTCGTCTTGTCTCTACTTCATCTATGTGGCTCCGGGCATCGGTAAGCACCGAGACACACCCTCACTTCCCACGGTCACACTGAGGGAAAAGCAGGGTGTTACTTACGGGATTTGGAAGCTCTATAAACAGGGGACCAGCAGAAAAGATATGTTTGAAGTGTTATTTCAGACATGTTAAATAAACTGCTTCGGGCCCTGGCTTTGGTATGTGAGTTTTGTTAATGCACGTTTAGGTAACTTAACGACTGCATTAAATGGGCACAGCAAAATTAGGTGTGATGGCTCAGGATGCCCTGGTCGCTTTCTTGAGTATTCATAGCAGCTTTATCCGTTTAATATCAAGTCTTTAAGCTTCAACTTATTGCTTAATCGTAGTTTTATTCAAACACCCTCAGATAGAATAACTGGCTGCAACAATATGATGATGAAACCAGTAGCAGGGAATGTGGAGTTCAAGAATGTACATATTCTCGCGTTCTAGGTCACTTTAGAATGGGGTCAATGAACATTTGTGCCACACTTTAGGAATTTTTAGGCAACGAGTTGTCTTGTGAAGACAATGCTCTATTATTTAGTCTGCTTGGGTCTGCTTTTCAAGGGGAGGTAGCCTCTGCTACCTTTTAGGGTGACTTCTGAGATAAAATAATGATTAAAATAACAATTATGCCAGATAGTTTAAAATTTTAACCTACTTATCATCTTTTGGCCTTTGGTCCAAAATACGCTTTTGTATAATCTGCTTGAATAGGCTTCTTTGTCAAATATCCTAATTCCTCAGCACGCTTTGGTTGAAAGGTGCCGATGTGGCATTCTAATGGATGAAAAATAGCTTCATATGGATATTAAAATCACATGGTATTTCCAAAACTTTTCTGAGTTTTTCCTGGTTATTATGTATTTAATGTTCAGTTACTTAGTAACAACGTGCATCTCCTATCATTTCTTTTTAGACACTAGTAGTCTTTTGAGGCAGTGCCATTTCTCCCCTTTTGAGCCAGGGCTAGTTCTCCCCATTTTCTCACCAAAAATGTGTGGCCTCTTACAGGGTAAAAACACCTGCAGAATTTTGAGTTGGAATTATCCTTTGGGTATGGTCTTCTGTGGTCATATATTACTGTAATTAATTGCAGGGGGGGAAAGCAGAAGCAAACCTCATTGAGACTATTTCCTAAAACAAAATTACTCCGTGACTTTTTATGGACTAAATATTTGGATTCAAGTAAGATGTGTAAGCTCAGATGATGCTTGAGAAGACATGAATTACTGAAGCCTCGAGGCATCCCAAAAGAGAAGTTTGAGGTGAAAGTTTGAAAAAGTATGACTATTTTAACATGTTATTGTCTTTCAGTGCAGTTTTCCCTTTAGGCTAAATAAAATACTCCTTGCAATCTGTATTAGAAATGACAGTGGTAGCTCAGAGGGTTTGAGAGTAGTTAGCCACAATGTTAAGTAGGCTTTTCTTAAAATCCTCTGCCATTTTGGAAGTCTTATAAATTAACTCCTCATTCTACAGCAATTTTACTTTCTCATTTAGCTCTTTAAAGGTTGGACATCTTTGGGGGGTGCTATTTTGTCAGATATTTAACTTTGGGAGATTTTGGAGGAAAAGTTTTTTTGCCCTTAGTAGTTTTCTGTCTTGGTATTTTGGATAACATGTTACAGTTATGTTACTCAAAGAGGTAACCAAAGGAAATTAGAATTCCAGCTTTAATTTGATAATCATCCATTTTTTTGTTAGTGCCTTAATGTATCTATAGATTCTTAAAATTCAGTTGATATGAAATACTAACACATTTTTCTTATTTGTATGCTGTATGTTTGCTATAGAACAATCACTGATATGTCGTAAATTTGGCAACTGTCTTACAGGCAATTAGGTCGATGTCATTTAAACTACTCTGTTTCTGTGGGTCTTACAATTTATAACTTTAAAAATATTGATTAAAACCAGTAAGAAGAATGAAAACCAAAAGTTATGAAGTGTTGTCAATTTGTTAAACTGAATCTATTTCCTAAACCCAGTAATATTTAGCAGGAAGAAAAAAAAAAGAGGAAACCTCCTTGTTTATCTTTTAATTTTTGGGAAGCAGTTTTTCCAAAATTCACATTTTTGCTTGAAAGTTCAAATTTTAGCATTGGCAACAAATACTGTCAGTTTCTCTTGACATGTCAGGCTCACTTTGTTCGTTTTTGGGAAAATGTAGGTCAAATACAGAAGTCTAAATAACCAGTTTGTCAGTTCTTTCAAGTAAAAATGATGTTCCATGAAAAATGTGGCTGGTTCAGCTCACATTACAACCATCAGTTGCACAATTTGATTTTCAAGACAACCATGGGACTTTGGTATGCTGAAGAAATGCTTTTTGCATTCTTACCATTTCATCACGGATTTCTTATTAATGAGACATATCCAAAACTGATTAGTTCTTATAACTAGCTTACATCAGATGGATGTAGAGTCTTTTTGAAATAATCCATATTTTAGCCTGAATTACATCTTGGGACAAAACATTTTTATGACTAAAATATATGTTGTGTGAGAGCACTTTTTTTTTAAGATTGGCACCTGAGCTAACAGCTGTTGCCAATCTTCTTTTTTTTTTCTTTTCTTCTTCTTCTCCCCAAAGCCCCCCAGTACATAGTTGTATACTCTAGTTGCAGGTCCCTCTGGTTCTTCTGTGTGGGATGCTGCTTCAGCATGGCCTGATGAGCGGTGCTGTGTCCGTGCCCAGGATCTGGACTGGTGAAACCCTGGGCCACCAAAGCAGAGTGTGCGAACTTAACCACTCGGCCATGGGGCCGGCCCCAAGAGAGCACTTTTTATTGATCTTAAATAAATGTTTCAAATCTCTTCTGTTAAAAAGTCCGTATTAATCCAACCCACATCAACCTGTTTGGTAGTCATCAATTGTATTGCCCGACCTTTTCTGTCCAGAGAGCTATTTTTGTCATGTGCCTTCTTCCCCCAGGCAGTCTGTCATTTTAGTTAGTCTTCCTTAGTCTCCTTCACCTGCGTCCTTCCCTCCCTCCCTTTCTCCCTCCCTTCTGAGCAGATAGTACCACACAGTTGTAGACAGTGTAATCTGTTCACTTTCCAATGTTTTCGCACATTGCTGAACAGTTTCTTGGCTTTTTAGGTCTTAATCTTGCAGTGAGTTCCACCAAAGCTCAAAGCTCATTATTTTAAGATAATTTGAAGGATTTTCCTTGAAATGTCTAATTCATGCAGGAAACACAGGGATAGTCTTTATATTATGAACTTTAGTACCAAGGGAACTTGATCTGCAGACCCCCACCGCTACCCCCAGGAAGTCCATGGACAGATTGGCCTAGCCCATCCAGTAGAGGCAGATTCCATGAATTGTTGCTCATTCTGTTTCTGCCTTGGTGCATGATTGCAGAAAGATAAGTGTAGTTTCTTTCCAAGATCTTGTCCTGGAAGGATGGAAAATGGAATTCCATTTAGTATGAAACTGTTTCTAATATAACTTCCAATACCACATAGTCATTTTCCTGCTACAGTACCAAAGGAGTAGATGAGCTGACTTACAGATTCATTCAGCAAACACGAATATGGCACCTCGGAGAGGCTAGACATTGTTTGAAGCACAGAAGATAGAGAGATGACTAAGACAGTTTCTTCTCTCATACTACAATGGGTTGAGCACCATGAAAAAGCTACAGCCAGTCCTTGGAAAGCGTGCAGTGGAGTGTGAGGGTTGGTTAAGACTTTGCAGAGGAGGTGGTAGTAGGAGTGGGCCATTGAAGATAGATTGGATTTATCTGGACTGAGCAAAGAGATTCCAGTCAGAGGGAGCATCATGAGTGAAGGTAGGTTCCAGAAAATAGGAATATTTCCAGCTGGCTACCACTAAGAGCTTGAGGTGGGAGATGGGTCAGATTAGGAAAAGTCTCGGGGCTCCCCTGCCCAGCCTCATGTTCTGGTGCTCGAGGTCCCCAAAATTCCTAATAGGGAGAAACTGGTCTTGGGTCACACAGCTTTGTCAAAGCTGTCTGTGATTAAGAAAGAAGTCGATGTGCCTGTAATCACTGGGGTGACATCATGGGGAAGATTGCACAACTGCTCTGGGAGTGGGGGTTTCACTGTCCATTTGACTCACCAGAGGCCCTGACCTTTCTAGACACGCTGACAGGCAGTTTTCTTCTTGGAGTAGAGGTGGAATCTGGTTGGGGCACTTTGGTCTCAATTCCTGTGGGCCCTTTGAAGAATTACCTGGTCTAGTGCTTTGTTGTTTGGGACCCTGGCAGGGTTTGTGCTCTGCTAGGACTCGGGGAGTTGGTGATGGGTGGTCAGGGTGTGGGGATATATGTGCAAGCATGTGGGTTGTGGGAGGCGGTGGCTTAGTTAGGTCTTTGCTCAAAGCCCCCTGACATTTTGGCTGGGTTTCTCTCAACTAACTCAGACGTAGCTAATTGCCCTGCAGCTTTCTTATTGCAGCCCTTTAGCCTCCTGCTCCTGGCTAGGTGAGCCTGGTTGTGTTCTTTTGGAGCTGTTAGAGTCTGCTTTGTGTTTCAAAGATCCTTTTAGTTTTTTCCTCAACAGGTGTTCTCATCTACACAGCTCTTTTCAGGTTGCTTTTGATTTGGGTCATGGTGGTGGGCATTTCTTTCCTCTGGGCCTTTCTTCCTGGCCATGCATCCCATGCTAAAACTTTTGTCCTGTAAGTTGCAGGAGACATCAGAAGTTTTGTAAACGGGAATGGTGCAGTCCTTTGCTGTAGAGCGACTCTTCTAGCATGGAGGACGGGTTGTCGAGGGCAGAACCAGTGGCAGGGAGACCGGGTAGGAAGTTGCTTTCATAGCTCAGGCAGTAAAAGACCAGAACCTGATCAAGGTCATAGGTGGATCAGGGTCGAGTTGAGAGGATGTGAACAGTGGAACTGAAGGGAAGGGAGAAGCTTTAAGACAATGCTCATATTCTCGCTTAGACACCCGGGCTGCTGGTAATAGGGAATACAGAAAGGCACATGCAGTGAGGGGGTTATTTTGGGTTCTAAAGAAATTGAGTGGGGATGCCTCT